TTCTCCTAACCACCACTGTGTGGTAGACTGGGGTGTTGCAGTGTATTTTGATTATTTCTCTTCTCCTAACCACCACTGTGTGGTCGACTGGGGTGTTGCAGTGCAATTCGAATTCAAGCTGTATGTGTGATAGAAGCCAAAATAATCAGGATAATGCACGTTAAGATCTGGGCTAGGCTTAAAGTCACACGATTGGGGTGCATCTGTATCTATGTGTACATGTTCATTGGCCACCTTATACAGTGGTGCAGTACAATTATAGCATTCATATCCACGAATATTGATATGAAGAAACATATGGCATGTACCGGAGTTTGCATTTGAGAAGATATCCACTTTTTGAAGACTGCCAAGAAGAAAATCGGGCGTCAGAACATTCCGCTTTTCAAAGTTGCAAGTGGAACGAAATAAGGTGGACTTTGAGTGAATGTATTTAATGTTTTGTCGGCTTAGTCGATAAGCTTTCCAGCTTTGAGGGGTATCTTGGTTGACYTTGTAATCAGTAGAAAATGATCTATTCTTGAAATCAGGGTTGTTCTTAAGGGAAAATGACTCTATTAGAGTCCAGGCCCGATTTGGACTTTCAAAAGAACAATATAATTTGATAGTGACGTTTGCAGATTTTTTAATAGAGTAAGAACCGCTTTTGGGATCTTTGCCTTCTGTAAGCATTACTTCGAGACAAGAAGAAGGCTGCTTAATCTCACATATTCTGCCAGCAGWTCCTCTAGGACACTCACAAGTAAATTTCTCTTTAGGCGTTCGGCAGTGCTCTTTGCATAACCCTCCGTTCATACAAGGCTGTGRTCGACAGCAACCATTATAGCAATCACCAGACAATGCCATTTGAGATGCCTAAATCAACAGTAATGTCAAGCTAAATGGAAAACTGAAAAACGATTTAGAACTATTGCTTGCCATTTTATACAAAACTTACCTGCAAGCCATGGTACATTGTCTGCTTAAGATCAAAGTGTACGTATCCTGGCTCATCTGTCAAGGTTTTGGAAGTCTTGTCCTCATCCAGCAACTCACATCTTGCATCTTTTATCTGACACGCCTTACAACGACAATCTTGGACACAAGATGAGTAGCACTTGGCTGGATCATCGGTGGTGATGTTCTTGTAGGAGTATCCCTTGAGATGTTTTCCATGGAAGATGTCTTGGGGCTCTGGGAAAAGTCTTCCAGAATAGCAGGTGCCAACGCAGTGAGATTCGCTTTTGGCTTCTTTAATACAAATAAGCACCGCAAAGACAAGGTATTCGGTGTTCATGACTAAGAATAATTCAAATGTTATGTATTTATAGATTAATAAAGCGATAATTTTTCAAACAAAAGAACAACTTTTAAGTTAAAATACAATATTGCTGAATMCGGTGATTTTAAGTAACAATTTCATTTGGTAGCCCATCCTTYGACATYAGACTTAATCTGTGCGGTGCTCCTGCTGAGTTTGTYATTGTGAARTTTGAAAAGACGTAGGAGACTGCTCGACGAAACAAATAGATATTTTGAATATCTATTSAAAAAAATCATAACAAGCTAGTGCTTTCATTGCAGCAAAATAACGATAGAYCTACGGGGTTAGTTKTCTTGTGGTTTCCTTAGCTAGATTATATTTTATTTTTATTTCGAAAGACGATCTCAGGGGGTATATTGGTCTGTAATTAGAGAACCAAACAAAGRCAAAACGYATGCAGTGTTTTCAGTGGAAATATTTATGTGTGAAATCTATACAAACCGAATAAAAACAATAAAAACCGATGAAAAAAAAAMMAAAAAAMAACGCAAATTCTAAACCTACAATAGCGAAAAGACAATATATAGTAATACATTCTGACAATTAAAACTTAAAGACGACGCGACGTTTTGTGTTAACTAAAAGCCGATCGTAGAATGCCCCATATAAATTATAAATGAAKTAGTTTCAGCTTTTCCTGTATGTAAACAATATTCCTATTCATTCGATTTTGAAAGCATAGTCTTTCAATGAAAATTTAATACATTTAGACGTTCTTGTCATTTCTTAAACKTTTTGCTGAATCCATATGCTCAAAACCCCGTAATTTTTTTTTACCAAATTACATTTTTAAATTCATAATGCATAGTTTCGTGAATATRTAAAGTCTTGCGCCATCCAAAAACGTTTRCAACTATTTTACAATGACTTTTGCATCTCAAAAGAGTGTATTCTAAGACGCGAGACACAAAAATTGATGGACCCAAATTTTCGCTCTTGAAAATAAATGTTCATTTTGTCCCGTTTAAACCCTTTCCCTGATTATATACCTCACTTCTCATCAGACGAAGTTCCATTCCTTACAAGTTGGGGGTATACGTGGCGCTTTTACCTGGTACATTTSACATTAGTTATTTTTCAACTTGCTGCTTTACAGCTTTTTGTCGAAAACTTTTTTTTGTAGTCAAACCTGGTGTTAATTGACGTGTCACTAGCCAATCAGTAACTTGCAGTAGGTACTATATTTCACTCTAACTGACAAAATTAATTAGAAAATCATTTATGATGAAAGAATTGCCTATTGGAGAACTTCTGCTCAATGCACGAGAAAAGCACCTGCAAGACTTACACAGGTATTCCACTTAGTTTTTTTTCCTTTGCTCCAAAAAAAAGCCTGAATCGATGCCTAAATCAAAGTTATCCTGTTATATCTATTGGCAATGTCCTCAATATTAGCATGTCCTTCAAATGTGTTTGTAGGCAATGTATTGTGACATTTTAACAGCAGATCGTAGTTGTCCTCACTATCAATATAAACAAGTCGTTSGAGTGATTGGAGAATATTTATTGTTATACAGAATATTATTGTCTTCTTGCATTCCACCGTCATGATGTTAAAGTTTCTTCTGATTATTCGTAGCGTGGACTTCTTGGCTAGTACGCACATGTCAGGGACCGCAACACATATTTTGGATATAGGGGTCTAACGACAGCCAAAGGCGGGAGTATTACGGGAGTCTGGACTTCCCCAGGAAATTTTGAAATCATACCTCTTAGAAATGCGATTTCTAGCGTTTTGAGAGACATCGAGGGCATATAAAAGGAATAAATTTTATGTGAATTTTTCAGTAATTTTTGTAAAAAATTCCTTGCCACTAGTACGCACGTGCGTATATGCGTAAAGGACGCTACGCGCCTGCCACCACTGTGTRGTAGACTGGCATGGGTGTTGCTGTTTATTTTGATTATTTCTCTTCTCCTAACCACCAATGTGTGGTAGACTGGAGTGTTGCAATGTATTTTGATTATTTTTCTTCTCCTAACCACCACTGTGTGGTAGACTGGAGTGTTGCAATGTATTTTGATTATTTCTCTTCTCCTAACCACCACTGTGTGCTAGACTGGGATGTTGCAGTGTATTTTGATTATTTCTCTTCTCCTACCCACCACTGTGTGGTAGACTGGGGTGTTGCAGTGTATTTTGTTTATTTCTCTTCTCCTAACCACCACTGTGTGGTAGACTGGGGTGTTGCATTGTATTTTGATTATTTCTCTTCTCCTAACCACCATTGTGTAGTAGACTTTGTGGCTGCCGTACATTTGAATCTTTCATCGAAAATATCATAGTTTCCAAAGGTTTTAGTGTTGGCCTTGATATAGTTCTGATTAAGTTTGAAGTCACATTGATTAGAAGTGACATCAAGGTGAGTATGCATTTCAAGATTTCCAGAAGATGTAAACGCTGTACAGTCAGTGCAGCTGCGCCCCACGATGTTGATGAACAAGTACTTCCTACACTCGTTAACCTTTTTCTCGTTTACAATATCCACTTCACTCAATCTGCCAATCAGAAGGTCAGGCGTCAGGATGTCTCTGTCTTGGAAGTCACAAGTAGCTCTGAACAAGGTGGNGTAGACTGGCATGGGTGTTGCTGTTTATTTTGATTATTTCTCTTCTCCTAACCACCAATGTGTGGTAGACTGGAGTGTTGCAATGTATTTTGATTATTTTTCTTCTCCTAACCACCACTGTGTGGTAGACTGGAGTGTTGCAATGTATTTTGATTATTTCTCTTCTCCTAACCACCACTGTGTGCTAGACTGGGATGTTGCAGTGTATTTTGATTATTTCTCTTCTCCTACCCACCACTGTGTGGTAGACTGGGGTGTTGCAGTGTATTTTGTTTATTTCTCTTCTCCTAACCACCACTGTGTGGTAGACTGGGGTGTTGCATTGTATTTTGATTATTTCTCTTCTCCTAACCACCATTGTGTAGTAGACTTTGTGGCTGCCGTACATTTGAATCTTTCATCGAAAATATCATAGTTTCCAAAGGTTTTAGTGTTGGCCTTGATATAGTTCTGATTAAGTTTGAAGTCACATTGATTAGAAGTGACATCAAGGTGAGTATGCATTTCAAGATTTCCAGAAGATGTAAACGCTGTACAGTCAGTGCAGCTGCGCCCCACGATGTTGATGAACAAGTACTTCCTACACTCGTTAACCTTTTTCTCGTTTACAATATCCACTTCACTCAATCTGCCAATCAGAAGGTCAGGCGTCAGGATGTCTCTGTCTTGGAAGTCACAAGTAGCTCTGAACAAGGTGGATTTGGAGTGAAAGTACCAAGTTCTGTTCAAGTTTATGCGATACATATCCCAACYGTCTGGGTTTCCCAAATTCACAGAGAAGTCCATAAAGAAGGGTCTCTTCTTGAATCGAAGCATTTCGGCTCGAGAGAACGATTCGATGAGGGTCCACGCCCTGTTCCCATCAAAATCGCAGTATACTTTAACAATGTTCCCTTTGTCATCTCTTTTAATCCAGTAGACACCTTTTTGTGGTGTTGTTTTAGAAGMGATTAAAATATCCATACAAGATGAAACTCTTTCCTGGCATATTTTACCTTTATACTCTTTCTGACATATACACGTGAATTTCTCCTTTGGTGAGTTGCAATGTTCTACGCATGCCCCTCCGTTCATACAAGGCTGGGATCGACAACARCCATTATAGCAAACACCTGGCTTTACCATGTGGGATTTCTTCTACGTAGACGAAAAAACGTCCATTAAAATTTTTCATGTAAGGAAAATGTATAAAAAATGTGTCATAAAATTTCTCACCCCCTTAAAAATTGTTTGCTTGAGATCAAAGAACACGTATCCTTGCTCCTCTGTTAAGTTTTTGGAAGTCTTGTCCTCATCCAGCAACTCACATCTTGCATCTTTCATCTGACACGMCTTACAACGACAATCTTGGACACAATGATGGTAGCACTTAGCTGGATCTTTCGTGGTGATGTTGTTGTAGGAGTGTCCCTTGATATTTTTTTCATGGAAGATGTCTTGGGGCTCTGGGAAAAGTCGTCCAGAATAGCAGGTGCCAACGMAATGAGATTCGCTTGTGGCTTCCTTAATACAAAGAAGCACCACAAGGACAAGGTATTCGGTGTTCATAACTTTCTAGAACGAAGAAATGCTGGTGAATAAGTGAATGATTATAAGAGATTTCAGAAAAGGAATAAATTTCCTCTTCGACTGCATGATGACACAGCGTGGTAGTTGACCGACTTGAGGCAATCGTTGAATGCAAATTCAATTAAGAGCCATCGAGATTAGAGAAGCTCTTTGTGGATGATACCGATGTCGGATCCAGCTGGAATTTTAAGGATGGGGCTGAGTGGTTTTAAGGGGGCTAAATGGGCTTTGAAAATAATAAAAAACAGGCAACTTTTTTATGCCCAGAGAACCCCACTTGGATCCGCTTTTGGATAGTCGGCGGACGTTTGGTAAAATGTTCGCCAAAACAACTACAAATTGCCAAAATAGACAGGTGTATGATTGTAGCAAAATATAATTTGACTGACATCAGAAAAATACCTTCACATGAGGGGAGAAGGTAGTGTATTATTCGCTTTGAAGTCAAAGGGGTGCATAGTTAGTTGATGCTATATAGAATTCACTTGATCTTTCAAAAAAWTCTTTTCGTTCGAAAAGGCATGTTAATAAATGTTTAGAACAACCTTCTTACGTTTTAGTACATTTTATAATCAGTTCAAACTCATAGCTGAATTGATACATATGTTCTAAYCCAAATAGTAATTTAGGTTTTTAAGGTCATCACGATTTGAAATTATTTTTGTAATGCCATTTTTTGCTTCTCAGAAAGGGCGCCGTCTAAGAACTGAGAGAAAAAACATTAATTACCAATTGACCAAAAATTAGATTGATTACATTGAATTGAAACTGTTTAATATGAAACTTCTAGCTTTAGTTGTGCTTACATACCTCAGTTCTTCCCCTTGGACGAAGAGCTGGTTTTTTCAGTATCTCGCACAGGTTTGATTAACTTAACTGGCTGGTGTTTATTGACATGTCGCTAGCCAATAAGGCACTTGCAGTTACTGTAACTCACAACGACTGATGATAATTAAGTGAATAATTAATTAMTAAAAAATTATAATAATAATAAAAGCTTTGCATGCAAATTTAAGAATTTATGTCTAAGGATAAAAGCTAGTCTTAGAGACGATTATTTCCCTGAATTCACACGTAAGGTGCTTTCCATTTGAATTGGCGTCAATATTTGTCAATATTTTCACTATCCTAACATTTTTACAATAAAATCTATTACGACAAGACTCGGTGCTTCCTAAAATTTTGTTTTTGTTTTACTTTAAACTAATTATAAAATGGTGTTCCAAGATCCCCAATTTCCCTTACACAGTTACGGCATCTTTGTTCCTATTGGGGGTGGAATCTCTAGTATACTAGTAATGCACGTTGGATCAGCTATAAAAGAGCTCGAACTCGAATGATAAATTGATTTGTGGACTCTGTTTTCGATGGTATTCGATGATTACCAATAGCCCCTCACACATTAGTTACAGAACAAGAAATCTGGCTGAAATATGCCCTCTGTGCTGCAGTTACTGGATCTAGCATTTCACAACTTAGGATCATAATTTTCTCTGTAGTTAATCGAGGGAGATTTATTTTTCTATTCTACGTAATCAGAATCAGGCAATACAATAACATTTTCAATAGATTTTCCAAAAGAAAATCCATTCTGACAGGGGTTTTTAAAAAATGTAATTATTTTCCTTCTAAAAGCCGCTTTTTATTAAGAATGGGTATTCTAAAGACATTGCACACTAATTGTGATTAATTATTAATTTGTGCTCGATTAAATGAATATATTAACACATGTTTGGTACTACTGTGTGGTAGACTGGGGTGTTGCAGTGTATTTTGATCATTTCTCTTCTCTTAACCACCA